TGGATCGCAACCCTCAGTGTCGCGCCCGTACCGGGGACTGGCAACGGGATCGCAACCCTCAGTGTTGCGCCCGCACCACGCTCAGCCAGTGAGTGGGAACCGGTCTCCACATGGGATCCGAACCCTCGGCGGGAGAGCCGCCACGCTCCCAAGCGGTGCACTCCCCAGTGCGCCACCAGACTGGCCCATACAATTGTTATGTCTTCTTGATGATTCTTTTATCATACAGTGTCCTTCTTTGTCTCGTTTTACAATTTTTGACTTAACATCTGTTTTATGTAAGTATAGCTACTACTGCTTTCTGTTGGTTTGCATTTGTTTGGAGTATCTTTTTCTTTTTTTTTTTTTTTTGTCTTTTTTCGTGTCCGGCAATGGATCGCAACCCTCAGTGTCGCGCCCATACCGGGCACTGGCAACCTTGCAGTCCCATTGCCAGTCCCCGGTCTGGTGTGGGGGCAACACTGAGGGTTGCGATCCATTGCCGGACACGAAAAAAGACAAAAAAAAAAAAAAAGAAAAAGATACTCCAAACAAATGCAAACTGCTTTCTGTTGGTTTGCATTTGTTTGGAGTATCTTTTTCCATACTTTGACTTTCAACCTTTGTATGTCCTTTAAGGTGAGGTCAGTGTCTTATAGACAGCATACAGTTGGGTCTTTTTTGAAAAAAAATCTGTTCAACCACTCTTATGTCTTTTGATTGGAGAATTTAATTCATTTACATTCAAGGTAATTATTGATGGGTAAGGACTTAGTTCTGCCATTTTGTTGTTTTCTGGTTTATTTGTAGATTCTTTGTTCCTGTTTTGCTATATTCCTTTGTGATTAGTTGATTTTCTCTAATGGTATGCTTTGGTTTCTTACTTTTTGCCATTTGTGTATCTACTATAGATTTTTGGTTTGTGGTTACCATGAAGCTTACATAAAAGATCTTTTAGTTATAACCACTATTTCAAGTGATAACCACTTAATTTTATTTTTTTTGTGTGTGTCTTTTTGTCTTTTTCCGTGTCCGGCAATGGATCTCAACCCTCAGTGTTGCCCCCGTACCGGACCGGGGACCAGCAACGGGATTGCAACCCTCGGTGTCGCTCCCGCGCCTCGCTCAGCCAGTGAGCGGGAACCGGTCTGCATGTGGGATCCGAACCCTCGGGCGGGAGCGCCGCCGCGCTTCCCAAGCGGCGCACTTATCCAGTGCGCCACCGGGCCGGCCCGATAACCACTTAATTTTGATCACATAGAATAACAGTACATTTTTACTCCACCTCCCCCAACATCTTATGTTTCGATGTCATGATTTATATCTTTCTATATTGTATGTTCCTTAAGAAATTATTGTAGCTGTTATTATTTTTAATATTTTTGTCTTTTAACCTTTATACTAAATATATAAATGATTTACACATCATCATTACAGTGTTAGTGTATTATAAATTTGACCAGGTACTTATACTTACTTTTACCAATGAGTTTTACGCTTTCATATATTTTTGTGTTACTAATTAGCGTCCTTTTCTTTCAGCTTGAAGAACAACCATTAGCATTTTTTGTAAGGTGTCTCTTGCGTAAGGTGTATCTTGTAATGAACTCTCTTGGCTTCTGTTTGTTTTGGAAAGTCTTTATCTCTCCTTCATTTCTGATAGACAGCTTTGCTGGGTATGGTATTCTTGGTTGGCAGTTTTTCCCTTCAGCACTTAGAATATATCATCCCACTCTCCCCAGGCCTGTAAGGCTTCTGCTGAGAAATCTACTGCTAGCCTAATTGGAATTCTTTTATATGTGATTTGCTTCTTTTCTTTTGCTGTTTTCAAGATCCTTTCTTTGTCTTTGTCTTTTGACAGTTTTTTTCTTTTTTTCTGGCAGCTGGCTGGTACTGGGAACCAAACCCTTGACCTTGGTGTTGCAAGGCTGTGCTCTAACCAACTGAACTAACTAGCCAGCCCCAACAGATTATTTATAATATGTCTGGTGTAGTCTTAATTTGATTGAATCTGATTGGAAATTTTTGACCTTCTTGTACCTGGATATTTACATCTTTCTTCAGATTTGTGAAGTTTTTTGCTGTTGTTTAAAGCTTTCTACCCATTTGTCTCTTCTCCTTGAACTCCTTAACTCAAATGTTTGCCTTTCTGATGCTGTCTCATAAATCCTGTAAGCTTTCTTCATTCCATCTCATTTTGTTTTCCTCATCTGACTGTGTATTTTCAAATAGCCTATCTTTGTGTTCACAGGTTCTTTCTTCTGCTTGGTCAGTTCTGCTGTTAATTCTCTCTCTTTCTATTTTTCATTTGTCATATTTTTTAGCTCCAGAATTTTTGGGTTTTTAAATATAATTTTAATCTCTGGTACATTTTTCATTTTGGATGTTTATTGTTTTCCTGATTTCATTGAATTGTTTCTCTGTGCTTTGTTGAAGTTTGCTGAGCTTCCTTAAAATGATTATTTTGAGTTCTTTGCCTGGAAGTTCAGGTATCTTCATGTCTTTAGGATCTGTTACTAGTGCTTTATTTTGTTCATTTGGTGGTAACATGTTTCCGTGATTGTTCTCGATCCTTGTGGCTTTGTGTTGGTGTCTCTGTGTTTAAAGAAGCAGAGACTTATTCCAGTCTTTGCAGACTGGCTTTGTTTGGGAAAGCCATTCATCAGACAGCCCATCCAGAGATTCTGGGTAGGCCATTTGGCAAGCTTGCTATTGGAGTCCTCAGGCATACTGGTCTGGTGCTTGGTCCACAGGGTTGGGCCTGGAGCCTGGATTCACAAGGGCAAGTCTGGAGCCTGTATCTGCAGGGATGGGGGCAGTCTGAAACCTAGGTCTACAGGGGCTGACCTGGGGCAGTAGTGGTCCTTGAGCCTGAGTCTGCAGGGGTGGGCCTGGAGGCTAGGGTCCATGAGGGTCGGCCTAGGTCCTGGCGCCGTGGGGGATGGCTTGGATCCTGGGTCCACAGAGGCAGGCCTAGCGCTGGGGTCTACTAGGTTGGCCCTGCCCCTAGGTCTGCTGGATTGTGGGGATATAAGAGCTGATCTGGAGGCTGGGTCTGATGACTTGGGCTGTGGGACTGGCTTGGGGCCTGATATAGGGGCAGACATGAAGTCTGGGGCTGTGGAGGCCAGCCTGATGCTGGGGGTGGACCAGAGCCCAGGACCCCTGGACTGACCTTGCCACTGGCGTGGGCAGGAGCCTGAGTCAGTGTGGTCTTTTCTCTTAAACCAGCACAGATAGTTATGTAAATTCAAAGATAAGATTGTTCTTGATGTGGGAAGAAGGCAGGGATATGGCAGCAAATGGACTTCTCTTTAGCATTCAGTAGCTGGGAGCTGACTAGCAAGCAGGCTTCCCTAGCCCCTGTTCTTGACCAAGGAGGCTGTGAGAGACTTGGGTAGGTAGCTAAGCTCCATTTTATCTAGAATTCTGTCCACAGTAAGTTAAGCCTGGAAATAAAGACTGTATTGGCATGAGGGTGTTATAAGATAGACAGTTTTTACATCACTGGTAGGACTGAAAATTTATACCACTCCTCTGTAAAGAAATTTGGCAGACTATACAAAAGGCTTTTAAAATGTCCATTCCCTTTGGTCTACTTTTCATATTTACAGAAATCTGTCTTAACGAATTAGGAAAGTGGACATGGATTTATATTCAGAGATCTCAACTGCTATGTTACTCATAATAGGGGAAAAACTAGAAAGAATCTAAATGTCTTACAGAAGAGGAATGGTAAATCATTGTCAATTATGTAGCTATATGATGGGATATTTTGTAGCCAACTTTCAAATGCCTAATGACATGGAGAAATGCTTATGATGTAATGTTGAATGAAAAAAATCAGGGTTCAAATTTTATATATAATATCCTTCTTTATTAAAAATAGGAAAAAGAAAAATATATGTTTATATATGGTAAAAAAGGCCAGCAAATTATTAGGGGTGGGATTCTGGGTGATTCGTGTTTTGTTTTTTAAGCTTGTCTGTATTTTTTCAAATTTTCTACAATGAGTCTGTGTGACTTTTATAATCAGGAAAAGCAGTAAACATTGTAAAAATGTCTCCGCACCCACTACACTGTACCAAAAAAGACTGCTGTTTTTCACAGTCTGTAGGCAAAAAGTGGTTTACGTTGGGGTTGAATTTTCCAATTATCATAATGTGCAAATGGATTTTGAATTCTGCAGCTTTTCACATTGTGCAGTGAGCACAGCCGCTGCTGCCAGCCCTGGCATGTGAGCTCCAGCACGGCCCATCTGCTGCTCAGGCTCAGTTTGGCTGACACAGATTTATTTTATTTCATTCCTTAATTTGGCAACATTTTCCTTTTTCTCATCATTATAGCTGGGATTCAGTACCAGTGTTACTCATTTTGTTTACTAATTTGTTATTTCCTTTTGTTCCATTTTGGGAAGACAAAGAAGCCAACAATAGGAATTCTGTCTTTTGAAAATGCAATGCTTGTCCTTTGGGATCTTGGGCATGTCTTGCTAAAGTACACTCTATTCCTAACACTTGCAAGCCATTTCAGTTGTTTTGATAAGTAGAAAGCTTCATGGTGTATTTTTCAAAGGGTTTAGCTTCCTTTCCTACCCACCTCGCCTCCAGGAAGATTTGGAGATGGTTGCAAATAGAAATTATAAACATTAGCCTTGAGCTATGCCCTCTCCAGCTGGTATTTGGTACATTTTTTTTTAGACTGAAGGCTCATGTTTGTTTAATCTCCATTAGTACCCAGAAGCACGTGATGTGAGACTTAACTCTGCCCTAAGCACCCTACACTTAAGAAGGGATTTTCATCTGAATTGGTTTGTATTTCAAAGAGCACTGGGACAGTGAGCCATATTGCTATGAATTTGCTCAAGCGAAACTTTAGGACTATTAGAATCATCTTAGAGATTTCTTGAATGGATTTGCTGGGATAGGGTGGCTGCTGCCTGAGAATCCTCTTTGAGCCTGACACTTTATTTTTTTTGAAGACACATTCTTTGTAAGACTTTGTGCTAATTTTCTCTCTAGGTTACCCTGAAGAGACTTATCCAATTTATGACCATTCAGACTGTATCAAGCATAGGCAAGAAACAATCCTGGTGGATTACCCTGACTCCAAAGAACCCTCTGCTGAAGAAATAGCTGAAAGAATGGGAGTGATAGAAGATGAGGAATCAGATCATTTGGGCTGGAAAAGTCTGCCCACTGACCCCATAGCCCAGGAAGATAATCCCGTTACCTTGTGTGACCCAAAGCCAGAAACATGTTCCTGTTGTTTTCATGAAGAAGAGGATCCTGCTGTCTTGGCAGAGAATGCTGGATTCTGTGCAGATAGCTACAGCGAGCAAGAAGAAACCACCAAAGAGGAGTGGCCCCAGGATTTTAGAGATGAAGGGTTGGGCATCAGTGCTGATAAGGCATATACAAGTGGCATGTTGAGGAAGCGTAACCCACAGGGTTTAGAGTGAAAGCAGCCAGTTCGTTGAAGTATTCATTCCTCGAGTCCCAAGGTGACCTTTCTTTTCCCTCTCAGATTTCATCCGTGGCCCTGTGTCCTGTACTACCTTCTCTGTATTCAAATGTCATAGCTCTCAGGCCTCTACCATGGATATCATGTATCCTTCCTTGTGCTCACACACCTGTCACCTTATAAAACATAGACATTAGTGTGAACACAAGACAGCGTCACTCTTCTTGCCTTTCCCACATCAGAGAAGTTGATCCATTGAGTAATTGTGTTTGGTCTATTGTAATTACAGATGGGAACTCTCAAGGGTAAACTTCAGCTCTTCCTATTAGGAGTAACAGTTGGTTTACCTGTGGATGGACATCAACTCACAGGTGATGAGGACTTAAGGTTGCAAGTGTGAAGATTTCAGACTCCAAGATGCCTTGTTATTTGGGCCTTGAGCAGGTCAATGTTCTCCTGGGGAGAAGAGAACATTTTGTTTGTAGGCGTGATGGGCCCAGAGCAAGGTAAAGACTGCTGTCTGAGCTGAAGCCTCTTCTTCACAGTGAAGCTCTTTCTAGGAGCACTGATGCTGTCTCAGACATCCTCTTTTCTCCAGAGTAGCAGGAGACTCTCACTGGCCTGAGAATGAGCCGAGGCCTGTTTGGGGACTGTTTTGCTCTGATATTGCTTGGATCTCTAGCTTTCTTTTTATCCCTGTTCTGCTCAACAAAACTGCCAAACCCAGAAGTACCTTTGCACCCCTGGTCTTCAGTGGCCAGAGGAAGCTTTAGATAGAGACTTTAGTCCCTGCCCTGCAGAACCAAGGTTTGAGGCTGCAGGAAGGCCTGCCCAAGGGTGGTGGTCCTGCCATGAGGAGCTCAGGCCAGGGAACCCGCAATAGGAGAGAGAACTCATGCACTATGGACAGTCCTTGCCTAGAAACTGTTTCTGAATGTTGTGTCCTCTGGGAAATTTGTTCTTATAACCACATGAATTGAAACAGAAATGAGGACTAAGCTAATATTCAAAGTGCCAGCAAAACAGGGAAGTTGCAATTGTGTCTGTTGCCAAGAACCAATATAGCAGTGCCCAGGGGAAGAGATGATATGAACATTCAGATATTGGGTCTTTTGAGAGAACTGTGGAAAAGTAGGAAGTAGACTAGGATTGGGAAGATTTTGAACAAGCTAAATGCCTGTTCTCCAAAGTTGTTGTCATGTGTCTTCTTGAGACAATATGGCATCCGTGAATTCTGTCTAGCATGAAGGATGAGTGAATTCAGCTTTACATGTAAGACCTGAGAGTTTAAAGAGGACATGTTCCTTAGGACATTCCAGTCATGAAATGTGGACGACTCAAAATTTTAGAAATTATATGAAGGTAGATATGGCTTTTAGAGTTCCATTGTGTCTGGCACAAATAAGTTGCCAGGAAAATAGTTTAAATCATACATGTAAGCATATAGACTGCTGTCAGAAGGTATGGGATCATATTAAGATAATCTGCCAACTACCACTAGGCATTTGTTAGTTATTTGAACTACAGAGAAAAGTCACTGAAGATTGAGTCTATACAATGTATATTGTATCTATCTCTGTGTAGAATATTTGACTCACATTGTAAAGAATGCAGCTTAAAATGTATTGAAGACAATCTAAATGCAATGTAACACTAAAGTTAAAAAGTAATGTAGGTGCTCTTAACTGTTTTGATAAATTGTTTTCCATGTTATTTCCTTTACAAAGAGAACCCTGGGTCCCTAGTTCAAATTCCTTTTTTTGCCTTAGGATTTGATTCCTTTATTAGTGATAAGAACTTCTGTTTCCTTCTAGCTTGCTCGTTCATTCATTCATTCATTTAGCAGACAATTGCTCAGTGCTAGAAACTGGGAATAGAAAAGGCTCATCTCAGAAAACTCAATTTAACATGGGAGCCTGACAAATAAAAATGAACTATGAACTGTAAGAGGGCTCAAGATCATGAATTCTGCAGGCAGGGAAATGTGGGTCATGATCTATCCCTGTTTATTCTAGCTGCCAAATCTTGGGTCAGCTCCTTAACTGGTCTGAGTCTTGGCTTCCGCACTTATAAAGTAAGGGAAGTAAAAGTCCAGGTCTTGTTACACTGTTGTAGAGATTAAATGAAATAATCAATGCACGTAAAACAGCATTGGTTCTAGCTCATACATGATAACCACTCATTAAGTGGTAACTGTTTTATTGTACAATGGTTTGTGCTGTAGTTGAGATATAGACCCAAAAGTACAGGAGCACAAAGGAAAGAGAAATCATTTTTGCCAAAGTATTTCCAAGAAACTTCACAGAGGAGATGGGCCTTGAGGTAAGCTAAGAACCTCTCCAGGTGGGCAAGGAAGAGAAAGAACATTCTTGGCAGAGTGAGTGGTGTTGGAAAAGCAGTGGGGTATGAAAGTGTGTGGATATTCAAGTATTTTGATGAGGCTGGTCTGTAAAGTGTTACATAACCATCTCTTTATTTTGAATGTTAGTCTTTGGAAAAAAAAAATAGGCTTATGGGAATAGTTCCTACCAGAAGTAGTAAGCCCTCCTCCTGGCTCGTGCTTGCACTTGGTTGGGTCTATATGTCAGGAATATATTTATGTATTTATATATCAGGAATTTTGATGTACCTTTCAGTCATTTAGGATTTAAGACAATCGGATTTTGCAGAATTATTTTATCCTTCAGGAGTGACAATTATGTGTGTATATATAACCCAGGATGACCAAAATCATGGGACAGTATTTTTGTTGTCATGGCTGCTGCCTCTTTCTCCATGGTCTTAATTTCTCTGGACTAGAGGGCTACAAACTTGATCAGTCCCCCAGCACTAGGTCTGTAGTTACCTTTGGGCAACATGACAGAGTACATAAGTCATGCCACTAGGGGCAGGTAGTTGGCTTGCATCATCTGTGACCATGCTTGTTAAATCAGTGGGTGGTCCAGACAGGAGATCCCCTTTCCTGGTCACCACAGGAGCACAAGGAAAGCATCTCATTTGCTCCGTGACTAGTGTTGTGGGAGCTCCAGAAGCTGGGCCCAGTGAAGTGTGCTAAGGAGTAGAGGTATATTTGACATCTAGAAGTGATGGCTTTTGAGAACCAGTTTCTGTACCACCTATGGCTTAGGTGATCTAATAACTTATAGTCTAAACTGAGACACTTTGGAAAAAGGACACTTTTGGAATAATTATGCCAAGGTAACAGCATAAACCAGGACTATCCTGGAGTTATCTTCACCATGTCTATAGCCATTTAAAATTTTTCTTCAACCTGATGACTAAACAAAAACCTCTTTCTTTTTTAGAATATCCTGCATATGCTATTTCCTATAGAGGCGGAGGCCACAGGAGATAGACCATGTTTCAGGCAGGAAACTAGGTTGGAGGCAATAGACAAGCAAATCCTACTTATTACCACACTCTTAAAATTCTCCTTCAATCCAATTTGTATTCCAAAGAGAAATTTAGTACTTCAGCTATTCAGCAGTACTGAGAAAAAAAAAAACATGAATGATACATCTATGACTTTACCTTGACCACTAACCTTTCTAAAATCTACTTACCTTTCCCCTCTTTTCTTTTCCTTCCCATTTTCTTATACAAAGGACAAAGACAAATTTCTCCTCTTTCTTAGATCATTCCTTAACTTCTCAGATTACCAGTTTCCTCATTTATGAACTGGGAATAATACGCACCTTACAGGGCTGTTAGGATTAAGTGAAATACTGTTTATAATATCTTTTTCCCAGGATGAAGCATGTGGTAGGTGCTTGGTGACATCATCAACAACATCATCACTCTGTCATCAAGTCCTGTGCTGCTGGGCTGTCGCACTTGACACCCTCTAAGGCTACCCTGACTGCCAGGAATGGCCCAGCGCCATTCTGCAGACTCTAGGTGATTTTAGCTGTGACCTCCTCCCTCAGTATCAGAACTTCAGATTTCATGTCTGCTTCCAGCCACAACTGCAGCCTCCCTTCCTCTTGGCTTCAAATCCGCCACAGGCTGAGATTCCCTAGCTTGTCCAAGTCCTGTTTAAATGGGTTAGGCTCTGAGCAAAGCCAGAGGAATCCAGTGGCTGGGTCTTCATGTTATGTCTGCCCGCTGGGCTTTTCTGCCTTTTTGAGGTCTAAAGGACTGTTCTGTTCGTAAGGGCCAGGCCCACAGAGGATGCTTAGAAGCCACCAGCCCATTCCTCCAAGTGGCACAGCAGACCCTGAATGAGGCAGAGCAGACCAGTTTTTTAAGCCCTTCCCAGCCTCTGGGTGTGGTTCTGATGATCTTTAAACATGAAATGTATGGCCAGAGGGAGGACAGTGCTGACCCACATGTCAGCAAGCTATGATCCCTTTGTTAGTACCACCCACCTAACCACCTGAGGTTCCTAGGAAAGAATGACGAAATGGTGTAGAGAGAGAGAGACATGTTTTTCTTTTTATGAAAAAAAAAAAGTACAAAGAACTTTGAAACAATTCAAGTTTAATTTGTTGATATATGTCTGTACTTAGACAAACACTAAATTCTACAACATACATAATGTCAACATGGGAAAATACCAAGTTTGTCATTGCACATACCAATAAATAAATACATTTGCTCCAGAATACCAAAGTTTATTCAAAAAGTCACTTAATAAAAGCACAGTTTTGGAAGTTTGTCTAAAACTCCAGATAATTTTGAACAAAAATAAAATGTCTGACCACTCCAAAATATGAAAAGACAGTCTTGTGCAAACAGACATACACATTCTAGGCATTATGAAAACTGGCTAAATGTGTGTTCCCAGCAAGAGCAATGTCAATCATCCTGACCAAATTCCCTTTGTCACTAAATACAGGATTAAAGAGGCCAGAATCAGGCTTCCCTTCCTAAGCCATTATGAGTTGCCCTCTAGAAACTCTGGATCTCAGCCTCATCTCCAGCTCTGCCTGGACCTTGATGGGGGAGGGAGGAACAGGAGAGAACAGAGGAGAGGGGTGTGGTGTCTTTCTTAGGAAAGAAAAAAGGCACAGTGATGAGCTAGAAAAAGTAGTGATGAAAGCAAGGATTAACTTTCAATCCCCCTGCATCCTATGGCAAGCTTTGATAGTCCAACATCATCATTTTGTAGTTAAGAAAACGGATCTAGAGAGATTCATGGTTTGCTCAAAATCGTGTTGCCACTAAGTGCAGTAGTGCTTTCTGTAAGACCAACTTGCCTCTCCACTTGGTTGGAAAAATGAAAACCAAACCTGTCTCAGTACTTTTCTATTCTGCCCACCCCCACCCCCCATCCTGAGATGACAAAAAATTGCAAACTGGAGGTACATAAGTACAGGTGGCCATAAACTCAAACAAGAGCCCATCTTTTGGCCTGGTGGCTGCTACAGGCCTACAAGCCAGGGCTCAGGGCAGTGTAAAGTCCCAGTCACAGTGCTGGGCACCACAAGAAAAACTCATTCAGCTCTCTGGAAAAGTGTGCTGTGAGGGCCACCTGGCATCCTGAGGTCACAAATGGATGTCACAGCGAGGGCAAGGAATTATAAGGAGGGGAAGGCCAGTTTTACTGCAGTAAGGGAAAACCAGGAAGTCCACCTACAGATGGAATTTGTGCTTGCGTAACAAAGTCATGAACGTGGCATCCCAGCATCTCCCTCACTGCAGACTCCCATTGTAAGCAAAACATGGCCCTTTTCCTTTGAAATCCCCCCACTGCTTATTAAATTCAGAATTATATCTAAGTAAATGGTAATTTTACTTAGAGGTAAATGTCTTGCTATTTTCTGAAAGAAAAAAACTTCCGCTTCTACATGCTTGTTACCCTGTCACTGAAGGATGTAGGCACCAAAAGTTCTCTTCTAGCCTGTCATTATAACACTCTCTGGCTTCCGACACCTGTCCTTGCCATGGGTCTGGACCTTACTTGCTTCCTCTGAACTAATGTTGCGAGTTTTAAGGCACATTCACTAGAATATGTTCAAATTCATCCAAAAGCATGCATGTGATACACTGATTTCGAAAAACTAACAACTTTCTTGGATGGTGACCTCCCACTCAGAACCTTGGGAGAAAGAGCTGGTCATTTCTTTCTCAGGTATACTTTCTGTTCAAAGAGCATGAAATGGACAATCCATAGGTGATCAGAACTACATCCGTACTCCTTTCCTACTCATCCTTAGCAATATGATCATAAGAACCCTCAGTTGATTGCTAATTGCCCTTTCCCCCAAATACACACAGAGATATGCAGACACAGACAGACAGACACAGAGCACCTTGGAGCCAGAAGGAAAGAAAAGCTAGACTTGGAGAAGATCTGTGGAAGTGAACTTCATCACTCTGCAAAAGAACTATTTGGGGGCAAAGGGTGTAAAGTTTTGGGGTGTGGCCCCAGGAGGAGTTACAGAGGAGCTGTCTAAGGTCCCAGCTGCCCAACACTCTTAGGAGAGTGCTGATTCCATCACTCATTCCCTGACCAATCAAGGACTATCTGGGTAGAAGGTGTGATGGGCAAGAACTCTCACTATGGGAGAGGCTGAACCCAGGTGGTCTCCAGGGGCCCTGGCAGCTTGGTGAGTACTTGGGCCAATGGACGCAGGGCTGGTGGCCAGGGAAAACCAGTATCACCTGGAGTGGAGTCTTAAGAGCAGACCTTGTACGGCTGGGTCTCAAGCAAGGTGACTTATCTGCTTTTGCTTACCACTCAGAGAGTTTTGTTGCTGAGGCTACCCTTCTCCACACCCAGGCTAGAAAGCTCAGCCCACGTTTCTTGACCCTACCAAATATCCAGTCAACTCCCTCTTCTGTATGCTAAAAAAGAAAGCAGAGGCCAACAGTCTTCCATCGGAGGGGCCTCTCAGAGATGTATGAGCAGATCCTGCTAGAACAGGTGTGCCGTGCTTTAAGCATTCAACATAGGAAAACCTAGATTACAAAGAAATGAGAGCATACTTCTTCCACTTAAGTCAAAACAACTTCTTCACCTATAGGGCCTCACTAGTGTGTTTAAAGTATGACTTTTATTTCTTTAAAAAAATCAATTTCTACTTAGCCTTTGCAACCATATTTACACTAAAGCAAGGTACAACCCCAGCTTGCTCCCTGCTCATTTCTGATGTCCATCTGGACAAGACGTCTTTGCCAAGGTAAATGACAAGTGGGAAAAGCTTAGAGTTCTCAGGCCTGCAGGGTGGATGGTGCCATCCAAGGAGAAGTAACAGTGGGGGAAGGGATCAGGACCAGCCCCAGAACATTCATGCTCGCTGTATCACAGCTACACAGAAAAATGTGCAGCAGCCTTGCTAAGGCCTGCTTATGGCTGAGCAGCCCACAAGGAGGGGCCAAGCAAAGGCCAATCCTGATCAGACTGACTTGCAAAAGGCCAGACAAATTTCAGCAGAGAACTGCCCAATTTCCTACTGAAATGCTTTCAACCTTATGCATCAATTTTAAGTCTCTAGAATCAAGGGAAGAGGGGAGGGCAGGTAGAATAGGCCCCAGGAGGCCAGAGAGCTGGAGATACCAATTTCTTGGAGGACAGTGGGAAGAAAGAAATCAAAGGAACTTGAGGTTCTGAATTCTGCCATTAAGCAACTAGGTGACCCAGGGTGAGTCCCATTTTCTGCGTGTGACTCACCTAAAGGGATGAGGTTGTACTAGCTGATCCCCTAAGGGTTCTACCACCTCTGATCTCCTGTGGTTCTAAAATATTCCCTTCTCTCCTCACCTTGTCCCATTCCCTCCCAAGAACCACAAACAGAAGCCCTCACCAACCACGACTTGGCTTACAGTAGTGGGAGGTGAAACACATTCAAGAGCACTCGGAATTGGGTCTTTCCCAAGAGAGAAGAGAGTCTTCCTGGAGCATGCCATGGCTTGAGAATAGTGTGTTGCCAGCAAGAGCCTCAGGCATGCCTAGCTGTGTGCAGTCTGGGGCTGGTGACCCGGGACCCATCTACGTTTCCTGGGGTTTGTGCTGGGACTGCTCAGCAGTGAGCTCCTGGGGCAGTTGACAGTGCTCCCAGTACAGCTCTGATCCAGGGAGCCTGTTCATGCACCTCTTGCATGCTGAGACTGTGTCCTGCAGGTCCTGTCCACTAAGACATTTGGCTTTGAGAGCCAGATTCCCACTGCCTATGTGAACACAGAGCAAACCTAGAGAAATGAGCTAGAACCCTAGGCCATCAGCTGATTCCCATAGCCACAGATAGCCACGCCCCTGCAATCCTGGCAAGGTCTTGCCTCTCCCCTGTCCCCTCTACTCCCTACTTCTCTCAGGCCTGGCTGGGTCCTTCTGAAGTTGGAGGGCTTTCTGTATTTGTAAGGGCCAGCCAGCTCGGCCACAAAGCCCTTTGCTACATAAAGTTGATGTCCCCTACACACATGTTCACATATGTATGTACTCACTCACTGTGCCCCTGCCTGTTGGGGCACCTGTTGTCATCTGACTCCTGGGCTATGAGTGGATGGCTGGGCCACAGCAGCCCTGCACTGTGCTTCCTCTGTCTCTATGCCTCTGTGGCCTTCCCAGATGAAGAGGTTGCTCAGCTTGGCAAACACAGCTGTAGCACAATACCAACCCTAGAGTGGGGTGTGCATTGATCTTGGGGCACAGAAAGAATTACTCTTGTCCCTTCACACCCACCCACTCCACCCTTATTCCCCTCCCTGCCTCAGCAGCACAGGCAGAGAAGTCAGTTCCTGCCTGGCTGGGCCAGGGAGCCCCCTGAGGGCCAAAGCTTCATCTGGCAGAAGGCCTATGTACAGAGGGTAGGCAGGGCTGTCTCCGCAGGCAGGCAGGCAAGCTCCACTCCAGGCTGGGCAACCCCAAAGGGCACAGGAGGCCTCTATTCACAGGCCAGCTTGCTGTCGAAACTGGACAGGGCAATGGCAAAGGCCTGCAGTGCACACAGTGGGTAGTTGTAATCCATGGTGAACACATCCTCTGCTACCCGGCCAAACTGCATCACAATGTAGTCCGCTGGGGCCAGGCATAAGCACGGAGAGACAAGGACAAAGCAGGGATGGTGGAGATAGGGAAGGACAGACAGACACTCAAACCACAAGAGGGAAGAAAAAGCAAGAAGCGGATGCCAGGAGAATCCAAAAAGAGGTAAAACAGGCCAATTGGAACAATAGGCAGGAGAGAGGTGGCAGATGGCAAAAGAGAAAGATACATACAAACACCAGGAGACAAAGAAGAGAAAAAGTCCATTTAAAGGGTGTTCCCATGCCTGAGACTCTGCTGAGTACACAGACCAGGGCTCCAAAGAAGGTTCTTCCAAGGCCTCCCAGACATTATTTTCAGAAGGTTCTTTACATCTAATCTAAGCTGCACCGCCCACATTCTTAAACTCTGGCCTGTATGGGCAGGGCTAGGTGAGTTGAACCCTCAGCTAAAAGCCCCAGGTGTCATGTGGACAGTAATGAGTAGGGGCAGAAACACTCACGGTCATTGCCATGGATGATCTGGAAGTTCTTCACAGAGGCCTGTGTGACGCGCCCATGGAAGTTTAGTACGTAGGACTGTGTGTCATCATTCCAGACAGGTGTCTTGTTTTGCAGCTCGATGATACTCTCTGTGTTCTTATTCTGCCAGCGTGCTAGCAGTGTCTCATGCTCCTGGGAGGGCAGCCTCACCTGAGTCAGGCCCAAGACTTGGCACCATGACCACCCCAAAAAGGGATCTGTCCCAGGAATGGGGGTTCTTAGATTTCCCTAGACCTCCAGGGCTTCTCACAATGTATCCCCTACACATATACACACTGGCTGGAGCTCTACCCTTAGACTAAGCTCATGCAGAGGCTAGGATGACAGGGAAGGGGGTAGGGTGGGGCAGAGACTCACGTTACGGGGGCGGATAGAGACTCTCTCATGAACCATGTTCATGCCAGGGACAATCACGCTCATCTTCCGAGGTCCCTTGAAGCCTAAGACATTTGTCTCCTGGGAAACAGAGAGAGAAAACTTGACAGTGGCCACTGGAGGAATCTACTTACCTTCTGGAGAGACTGGGTGCAAGGAAATAAAGATGAAGGGCTAGTTTTCACCATCTCTACTTGAATAGACCTCAGTGAGGGCCTCCCTGCCATCCTTCCTAAAAATCTCATATACCCCTTGACATTTTACATCCCCCTCCCCTATTTTTTCTTCTTAGCATTTATCAGGAACATATTTATCTCACCTATATATATGTTTTCCAGCTTGTCTCCCGCATTAGGGGTGTAAGTCCTATAAGGGTATAAGTTGTGTCTGTTCCCTACCAGATCATTAGTGCTTCAAACAGTACCTATAACATGGTTGGGGCTCAGTAAGTCAGGTTGCCTCACCAAAATTGACCAGCAGGTGGCACCATGGACTCACAGAAAATAGCCGCGGACTCCCAATTGCCTTCCAATAACCCATGCCCAGGTTGATGAGGCATCCATCCCTCATTTTAAAAATGAAGAAACTGAGGTTCACAGCGGTAGAGAAATCCCCTGTATTTATATTCCAGTTTGGACATTTATGAGCTGTGTGCTGTCACTAAGAGACCCAACCTCTGAGCTTCAGTTTCCTCATCTATAAAGAAAAGAGGATCTATTTAAAAATGAAGAAACTGAGGTTCACAGCGGTAGAGAAATCCCCTGTATTTATATTCCAGTTTGGTCATTTATGAGCTGTGTGATGTCACTAAGAGACCCAACCTCTGAGCTTCAGTTTCCTCATCTATAAAGAAAAGAGGATCTACCCTTTAGGTTGAGCATTCAGTGAGATGATTATACAAAAGGCCCTGTAATCCACACAGGACCTGGCATACCAGGAATGAAGTGGGGGATGCACAGACAAAAACCTAGGCCTCCTGCCTCCTGTCCAAGAGAGTTCTGGGCTAGGCTGCATAGAGCCAGGCCTGGTTCCCAGAGCCCCTCAACCGGATGTCCAGCTGTGGTCTAAGCCCTGAAGACCGTAGGTGAGGCCAGGGCCTCCATCTCAGGCAGGCTTCAGTCTGCACAGGACAACCCCTCTCCACACAGCCTTGTCTACCCACCAAGATAGACGAGATGGTCACCATATCAGGCAGCAAGTCCTGGGTCTCATGTCTAATTTGGAGACCAGCAACCCAAGAACCCAGGACTCACATAGCACACAGCTGCTAGCTCCTGACGCAAGGTTCCACTTTCCAAAGTAGAAGATGAGGCCTTCTGAGGGTTGATTCCATTGTCATAAACAGTAAACTTAGTGCCCATCAGGTTGGACCTGAAGGAAAGGCACAATCCATATAGGGTCAGGCACCCTCTGCCCCAGCACAGGGAACAGCTAGCTAACAGTCTTTTCTGAGAAAAGCATGCAAAGCATTCTAGGCTGGGCTAGGAGCAGACACATGGCTCAATGGATCCACATCTTTGAAGGAGCTTCATGGGCAGAAGGCCTGAACTTGTTCTGAGTTGAGTCAAAGGGCATCTCAATTCAGTGAAGGAATTTCAGGGAGGTAAATCAGGATTCAACAGATGGTTTTCGTGGGTGAACAGGGGTGCTCCCCTCATGGAAGGAGAGCAAGCAGAATGGCATCTCGTAAGACTGTAGAGGGAACTTAGCGGCCCGTAGAGAGTGGATGTCATGATCTCTCCTGTCCTGTCCTGCCTGAATCCTGGTCTGGCCCCATCTCCAGCTTTCGATCTTTGCCTCTAATCTTTATTTATGCTCCCCAAACCTGGTACTCTGTTTTGCAGCAAACCCTATCTCTCCCTTAAGGCCTAGCTCAGAGCCTTCTACCATACCACCCCCTCACCCCGACTGCTGTTACTCTTCCCCCAGGAACTCACTTTCAGCCTTGCTCTTGGCAGTGACCATGGGGCCTAGGCAGCTCTTCCATGGTGGCCTGCATCATCAGTGACATCCTGGGGTTTGATCCATTACTTTTGGTGGGCCTGTACCCACCTGCCTGGGAGCAGTTTAGGGTAGGGTGTGTAAGGCCCATTTTCAAGTCTGGCTGGGCACAGATCTGGGCCTATGATTGGATCTGATGAACAGAGAGGATCCAACACTGGCTTAGATCTCCTTTCAGGGACGGGAGATGCCCTCTACAGAAAGCCTACCCCTGCCCCTCCCTCCCACTCCTGCCTGCTTCCCGGGCAAGTGCTGGTACCGCAGTTTCCCGATGTAGCTGTCCCCTCCTCGAGACAAGTCTGTTGGGTCCACAGAGATGAGGTAATTGGAAGTTTTACTCTTCTTTCTCTTCCTTCCCGCCAGGAGGAACACCTTGGGGAGTGGAGCAAGGTCATGTTCCAGACCCAGCCTCTGGCTGCACACAATCATGGGTGCTACTCACACACACACACCCCCCCCCCCCCCCCCTCTCACACACACACACACACACACACACACACACACACACACACACACACACACGGAGGCACACCCCCCCGCCGGGCGGCCCCCCTCTCTCCACCTCACACACACACACGCACGCACAGCCCCCGCTGGGGGGTCCCCCCCTCTCCACCTCACACACACACACACACACACACACACACACACACGCACA